ATATAAAATCTATGCATTTATATTGCAATATCTATTATTTAATTGAATTATTATTCTAATAAATTAAATTATAGAATCCTTAGATTCAAGTCTTTGTGATTTGTTAATCACAAGGAGTTGTAATTGTGGTCGAAGTAATAACGAGATATGGATATCATTATTACGGATAGACCATCACGTGTGGCATTCTTACTTGTGAAATAAGTAGCTGATCTCATAAGTTAAAGTGTGGTGACACTTGAATGAACACGTTGATATTTTGTTATAAAACAAAACATTGGAGACTCGCTGGGAAATTCCACATGGATAACTATCTGAGTGTTAGTGGTTAATTTCTAACGTTCCGTAGTGAAATTGGTCATTTTACTTGAGGTCATCACAGTACCTTACATGAGGACAATCATGCTTTGGTGATGTTGGATGTTGCTCTACCAAGGGTCGCTAATACAATATCGTTCGGGTATATTAAGAATCATATGAAGGTTCTGAATGATCGATAGAGGATTCATCACTCTTAGATAGTAAGAGATTATGATCTACATTTTATCCAATTAAGTTGATAATGAAATCATTGGCCAAGGTAAACTCATAAGTCGAAAATGAATTTTCGACTTACATTGACTTAACAGCGGGATAAAAGATATGATCGATAATTGAGATTGACACATAACCATATCTCATAATTGATCGGATCATATTGACGAAATTATTATAGTTTCATGGTAAACGAACAAGTTTGGTTTTGTCACACTACGTGACATTTCCCATCACATGTATTTCCCTGACACATTGCTAGATATCAATCCGGGATGATGATTGTGAATTAGTGAGAAATTAAAAGGGGTATTTTAATTTATCAATTTTGATTAGATCGAAATAATAATTCACGTCATTAGTTATCGTGATCGAGAACCTAATGAGTTACACACAAAAGAGAACCAGAAGAATGAGATTTACCAATTAATTAATTGACAAGTGTTGGATAATTAATTAATTGGGATGCTTATTAATAGGCTCGAATTAATTAATTGGATTAATTAATTCATGGACCAGATTTAATTAATTTGATTAATTAAATCTTGGACCGGGTTAAGTTTAATAGATGGGCCGAGCCCATCTGGACTTATATTAATAGACTACTAGGGTTT